AGCAAGTACCACACAGCATGGCCACGCTGGAGCTTCCCTAGGTAACCCCTAGCGATACAGGGGCCTCGCTCCACCTTCTAAGTCCCCTTCCCCTCTCCTGCCATCCCTTCCACTTAGGTCCCCACACTGTGTGCTCCCACAACACCCTGTTCTTCCCCATCATAGTGCTACGGTGATATTTCTGACATTGCCTTCATTTGTATGCGTCCTCTTTTAGCCCGTACACTCGACGGAAGGAGGGGCTGTGCCTGCCGTGTTCGCCATTGTATTGCGAGCACCTAGCCGGCACGATACAGCTGCTGAATGTTGTTGAAAAGAGAGTGGAGGCCCTTAGTATCTCACTGTCGCACTCTCGACTCTGCAGAGGAGAAAAGAAGTGGAAGGGTACAAAGAGAACGTGAAATAGAAAGTCCCGCCAAAATTCTTCCAGATCCAAATGAAACAGAAATAGTCTTTAGCCTTTTGAAAGAAGCCTGACAGTTAATAATTTACTATTTATTCAAGGCTCCCCTTCTCTGCCCTTTCTGGTCTGGCCCAGACCTTCCCCTCAAGGGCTGGCCTAAGCTCCTCCCCGGAAAACATCATTCTTACTCCTAAAAAGGGTAGCATAGCTGAGGACCAACGTGGAAAAGTTCTATGGGGAAGAAAGAATATCTACGACCTTCTATCCTTCTATCTAGGCCAAAGACTCTCTCACCTAGGATCATCCCTTTTTCCTACAAACAAAAAGATACTGAGACTAAGGAAAATATCTCTTCCTTCTTCCCCTTAAGCCACAGGTAATTCTCACTTCAGGTTCACCAGAGGTCTCTCCTGCTCACAAGGCCATTAGACACCACGAGAAACCACTCAGAAGGGAAAAGGCCATCCTCTAGCTGGCACCAGCCAAAGTGCTCTGCTCTCTGGGGATTGGAAAGATTGCTTGGGATGGCGATGGGGTGGGGAAAGAAGAAGAAACTGGAATGGGGAAAGAGGCAAGCAAACCAAAAGGATTGCACTGGTGCAAAACGCTCAGATTCCCCTGCTGTTAAACCCAGGGCCACGCAGCTTGCTCAGGAGCTAGAGCCTCACTCCTGCGTCTTTGCTTGTGCTTATACACAGCCCTAAAAACTGAAATCTTTAGTCACTTTGACTTAAGCATGTATCCTCTTTCATACCTCCCCACCCCTTCCTGTTTCCCTAAATTTCCTTCCCTTTTTTGCTCACACCGTCAGCCTTGTCTCTGGTTGTTGCTGAATGCTGAGGGAACTCAGCACCTTCAGGTCTTCCTGAATCTAACCAACTCTTGGCCAATGGGCAGTTCCTCTTACTCCAACTAGCCAACGTACACTCAAGGAACGCAAGCCAGTATTAACACGTTGGCGCTGGGTCACAATTAAGACATTTTCCCGGGTATTGAAACGCAAAACAAACTTTAAAATTAACTGTGCTTCGGAGATTCTCTGTGTTGCTGCTCTAGTGTGGGAGGCAGCAGAGCATTAATGAAATGTAAGTCAGAAAAAATGAAATACTCCATCTCATTCGCCTGGTAGTAAGACCTCAGATAAGTCACTTAAACCCTTTAGCCTGTTGAGAGAGAGAGAGAGAGAACATTAAAATGAAGCCCGGCCGGCGCGGTAGCTCACGCCTATAATCCTAGCACTCTGGGAGGCCGAGGCGGGTGGATTGTTTGAGCTCAGGAGTTCGAAACCAGCCTGAGCAAGAGCGAGACCCTGTCTCTACTAAAAATAGAAAGAAATCAGCTGGACAACTAAAAATATATATAAAAAATTAGCCGGCATGGTGGCGCATGGCTGTAGTCCCAGCTACCCAGGAGGCTGAGGCAGGAGGATTGCTTGAGCCCAGGAGTTTGAGGTTGCTGTGAGCTAGGCTGACGCCATGGCACTCACTCTAGCCCAGGCAACAGAATGAGACTCTGTCTCAAAAAATAAAAAAATAAAAAAAAATAAAATGAAGTCCCACTTGCCTTTCGAGTTGTGTAAATCTAGGATAGTAAAACCATGTTAGTGTCAGAAATGTTATAAACCCTGAGTTCCAAAGTCTCTTTAGTAGCTATCGTCAAAAAAAAAAAAAAAATTCTGTTAATCTATACTATAGATGCTATAAGTTCATAGAAAATAAAGGAACAGGGTCATACTCAAGGAACCAATCTCTCTAACTTTACTTCACCTTAGTTTTCAACTAGCAGAATTCAAGGTAAATTTCTTTATTCTTATTACTGGTCTGCAGGGGCCTCCCACAGGTGACAAAATTATGCTAGGCTGTCAGGCACTTCAGTGAGGCCTTCTGTGGACAGGCTGCTTTTAATAGCATCGGGCACCTGTATATTAATGCTCTTTTCTCTGCCTGCCCAACTAAACAGTTCGGTATTTCCCTGGTCTCAGTTGATACTCCTGTGTCTTAGCTGTTCTGTGTCTCCTTTTCTTATCACTTCATTCCTTTCATACATTAGGAGGTCACTGTTGGCAATGGGGGCTAACGATCACCAACACCCTTCCTCCCCAGCTCCAGAACAAGCCCCATGGTAAGTCTAACATTAAAACAAATCAGGGCCAGGCGTGGCAGCTCATGCCTGTAATCCTAGCACTTTGGGAGGCCGAGGCAGGAAGATTGCTTGAGGCCAGGAGTTCGAGACCAGCCTGAGCAACATAGCTAGACCCTGTCTCTACAAAAAATAATAATAATAATAAAAATTAGCTAGGCATAGTGGCGTGTGTCTATAGTCCCAGCTAATCAGGAGGCTGAGGCAGGAAGATTGCTTGAACACAGGTGTTGGAAGTCGCAGTGAGCTATGATGATGTCACTGCATTACAGCCCAGGCAACGGAATGAGACCCTGTCTCAAAAAAGGAAAAAAAAAAAAACAAACCAAAACAACAAAAAAACCCAGATCAGAATACATATTTGTAACCTAAGGAAGCAGGAGATGATAGCAGACAACTGTGCCAGCGGTAGGGGTCTTGGGATATAGGCATGACCAGAGTGTGTAGCAAGAGAGGCATCTGCCATTCAAAGGGATGGCTTTAGACTCTAGGTCTAAAACCAGGACTGGGCAAGAATCCACGAGCATTAGCTACGTCTATAACATTTGATACCTAATGTTGAGAGAGTAGACTATATGTTGGCCTTTGGGAATGAAAGCTCTCTGGGAATCAGAAAGTAAACAGTAACAGGTATAGGAAAGGATTTGGAAAATTTGAGGAAGGCCTGGATCCTTCCCTTAGGAGTTCCCCAGGCTCCAGCTTATTTGGACCCCTCAGTTCCACTCTGTGAGAGAAACAATTTTCCAAAGGGAACAAGAACAGCATAGGAAGGGAAAAAGAAAGACCCTGCTTAGCTTCTGATGGGTGTACTTTATAAAAGTACTTTACAGAAGTACCGTATCGTCTCAGTGGAAACATAATGAGGAACAGACTCTCTTTAAGGTCGATCCTGTTGTAAAAGTGACCGAATAAAGAAATCTTGCAGGCAGGAAGTAGGAAGTGTCCAAAAGTAGGCAGTCATTAGATACTAGCTAAAAGGCAGAGACCAAACCACATGAAAGCAACTAAGCACTGCCGTCTTAACCGGGTCTCCTTTTGCAATCGAGAAGTGAAAGGGGGAAATAGACTATGGCTGCAGTCACACGTGCAGTAACCTCTCCAGATGTGACAACACATTGCACTCCATGGGCTCATATTCTGGCAAATATCTTCTAATATATGGGCTCTTTTTTAATCTGAGACAACTAATTTATTAAACACTTATTATACGTTTGGGCACTGTGCATGTTACTTAATCCCAATAACTCTACGGGCTGGGTATTATTGATATTATTTTCAAAGAAGAAACAGACTCAGAGAGGCTGAGTACACTGTTCAGTGCTATTTAGCTAGTAAATGGTAGAGCTAGGATTTGAGATGGGAAACTGAATTCTAGAAGTAAAGAAAACATGTAGGGAGACTCACTTAGGTTGCAGAGAAAACAAGACATGGGCAATGTACAGGTATCTATGTAAAAAAAAATCTCTCTTTCTTCATCCTAAAGAGTCTAGACTCCAAGTCACTAACTTATAATACAGCATTGGTTAGTGTGAAAACTTCTTGGAACTGGTGAGGAATATGAAATGGCCCCTGAGGAAGGTTCAGAAATAGGCAACCACACGAGGCTGAAGGCCTCTAATAGATGGTATCTTGGCAACATCTCATACCACTCAACCATGGACTGCCTGATGTACAGGGTCCAAAAGAATCTGTTACAAAGATGCTAAAACCAGGCAAAAGTGAGAAAGTGTGTTTCCTTTGGTTCTCTCTACATTTGATGAGGCAATGGTTCATAATATCATGGTGCACCAGGCAGGTGGGCTGAGCCAGGCAAGCATGAAGCTGGATTTTTCATTCTCTTTTACAACTAGATCAAGAAGAACTATATTAAAAGTTCATCAGGCAGCGTTGAAAAAATCATCTATAATTCCCTGACAGGGAAAAAGGTAAGTGATCCAAAGATATGGTGGGTACAACTATACACCGTATGATCCCATTTCCAACTGTATACGATAGAAAAGTACTCAGTTGGGTAGATGGACTTATTCACGTTTTTGTGTGCCAACCCCTGCCCCCTCCCTGGCCACTACGCTGTAAGCTCAGTGTGAGGAAGATGACATCTTAAAGTCTTTTGTAATCAAAGACTGATACAGAACAAGGACTTGATGATTATTTACTGATAAAAACATTTATATCATAAACATTTGTGAGATAACTATCCTCCTTTCTGTACACCGATACAGAAAAAGGAGGAAAGGAAGTCGTCAGAGAATACCACAGTTCCTAAAACATCTCTGGGAAAGAAATGGCTCTTCACGGCCTCATCTCCTTTCAGTGCTTCAGATGCTACACTTTTCCCACCAGACAAAAGTATACCAGTTGGGTCTCCAGAAATGTGCCTTCTCTAGAAGCTGGGAAAACAATGTTTTGAAACACTAGTCACCTTCCTCCAATTCCCCACCCCTGAATCGGTCTTTACCTTCCACAGGGGAGGTTTTCAGTCTACTGCAAAGATTCTCTACACCTCCATAGTGGACGGTAATCTGGCTCAGCGCATCGCCCGAACGCAGCTCCATGAGCCTCCTCAGTTCCATCACTGTGCAGCCAAAGTCCCCTTCGTGGATCGAGTTGGCCCGCAAGCCATGTTCTGGTGGGTTCGTCATTTTGCCTGCTGTTACCGAGCCCCTCAGGCAGAGAAGATGTGGAGTTTCCCTTCAACTGATCAGCTTCTCCTGCGTTTCTGTCCCAACCTCTTTCTACTTCTCGTGTCTCTGGGGGCCCAGTTAGGAAATAGATCGAATATATCTTGTGCAACAAGCTTCAGAGTAGCAATCCCAAGCCTAGATCCTTTCTTCTGTATGAAGCCTGGCAGCGAGAAGGGAAGAGGCTGGGGGAACTGAGTGGATGACGGACTTTGTGTTACGATGATTGGTGTCCTCAGGCGGTGATGGAAGTGGTTATCCAGGGTAGATAGGTTCCTAGCTTAGACCAACTTGCCCAGATGAAGGTGTAAACAGGATGTGCATGTTACCATGGCAGCAACCTTAGCAACAACCAGCAACTGTGATGGTAGAGAGCGGCAGGAGGAGAAAGAGGAAGGCTTCCTGGATCCTGCTGACAACTGGATATCTGGAATAAAGATTCAAAGATAGACAAAAAAGAAACAATTAGAGCAGTCATGAGGATCCAGCTTCTGCAAGGGCAAGAGGTACGCATTCTAGTACAAGGGTTTAAGTGACAGTTGATACCTGAACTGAACTGATAACCGAGGCCTGAGCTGAGTGAACTGACTCAAGAGAGGCCCTTTTAAATTTGACTGGCTTTTAAAAAAAAAAAAAGAGAAAGGCCCTTTTCTCCCTTACGGCAGCCTGTAAACTCCAGTGTAAAGAAGTAATTTAAACTACAACCCAGTCTTCCTGTCTCACCTCTCCCAAACCAACCCGACACAAATCCCACAACTCCAGAAACTTGGAAGTAAAAAGCCACAACTTCTCGTGGCTCTAATGTTCTTTCTGTTTGTTTGAGGGACCTGTGACGGGGTCCTTTAGTCCAGCCTTACCTGAAAGAGGTAAGAAGAGGTCAGAAAAAGGAGTTCAATAAACTAGTAATAGCTTATAACTGAGAAATTGGTTTTTATTAGTAGGCCATTCAATCACCCCTAGATTGTTTTGTCATTTAAGGCTACTAGCTCATCTGTAATCTACGTGCATCATTTTATTTTCAGTAGATAAAATAAGCACTGCCCATTCTTTGACTCATTTTTCTACTTGAAACTAAAATCAGGTCATATGTACATATTAACATTCCTTTCTTCTATAGGATAATTCAATGTATAAGATAATTAAGATGAACATATACTTCAAAACACCATGTTGTACATGATAAATACAAGCAATATTATCTGTCAATTTAAAATAAAATAAAAAGATGTAGAAGATAATTTTAAAAAAAAGAAAAGAAGAAGGAGTTCAGACCCAAGTGATCTGAAGGGTGGCCTACCAGCCTGCCACCCTCTCCCACACCCCATACTCTTCCCTACTTCCAACATACACATTTACGAACCAGGAAGACAACCTGACAGAAGACCAAAATCCTCCAAAGCCCCTTAGAATACTCGGCCTCCAGCTGTGTGGAAATCCTGCAGCCTGTTGTTGTCAACTGGTCAGGCACCAAATTTTGGTCTTGGGGCTAAGCTCCACCTTCTTCTAAGAGACTTTTGGGCAAAAAGGGAGAGTAAAATGCTCTGGCAGTTGGTGATACAGGGTGGAATCTTTTTTTTTTTTTTTTTTAAATAAAGGGGAAAGAAAGACCTCTGAGGAGGAAAGATAGGGAGTTTGAAGTGCGAGCATTAAAGTTTCTCTGGGGTGGGAGAGAGGAGACAGCTATCAATTCAGATAGAGCATAGGGCCACAGCAAGCTCAGCGGGGGAGACAAGTGAGCCTGTAAGTGAGCACCAGGAGGTCTCAAATCAGCTCAGTAAATAAACCAGAGAGGGGCAACCCTTTCTCCTGTCAGAAAGACATCTGTTACCTCTCACACTTGCTCACTAAGGGGTGGGGGCGGAGCCACGTGTAGGTGAGGATATGGAGAGCTGACCATGGGAAAAAGACTTATCCTGAGCCCTGTTCTCAGCTCCAGAGAAGGGCTGCTGTGTGTCATGTGGAAGGCATTGTCACACACTCGCCATTTACATATATGCGAAGGGGTTTTTCCCACGCACGGCACCAGAACACGGGGCACGCAGTCCAGTCCTGATTGCATAGTTCCCCTTGACTTGAGTTCAGTTGGGGGGGGGGGAAGGGGTGGTGGTGAAGATTTTACTTTTTCTGTCTTCGCTCACTACAATGTTTGCTCCATGAAGATGGGGATTTTTGCCTGTCTTGTTCACAGGTTTAGAAGAGAACCTGCATAGAGTTGGCACTCAGAAATATTTCTTTGTTGAATAGCCAGTGGCAGATTCAGAACAAGTTTTACCATCTCCCGAGGCACACTTCGGGTAAGTCATTTAGTCTTTTTGGGATTCAGTTCCTCCTACCTTTAAGTGGGGGAAGAATGGGCCCTACATTTTCACACCACCCTAAGAGAGCGATAAAGGAATGGGATTATAGATAGAAATAATGCTTGGAAATCTTAGATGAAAGGTGTCCAGGCCAGGTGTGGTGGCTCACACCTGCAATCCCAGCACTTTGGGAAGCCAAAGCCAGAGGACTGCTTGAGGCCAGGAGCTTGACCAGTGTCAGCAACATAGTGAAACCCCCTTCTCTACAAAAAACCCCAAAACATTAGCTGGGCATGGAGGTGCGTGCCTATAGTCCCACCTGCTAGGAAAGCTGGGGCAAAAGGATTGCTTGAGCCCAGCAGTTCAAGGCTGCGGTGAGCTATGATCACATCACTGCACTCCAGCCTGGGTGACAGAGCAAGACTCTGCCCCCCTAAATAAATAAATAAGAAAGTTGTCCAGTGTCTAGTATAGGAGTAAGCTTAAATTGATCTTAATGAACTTTTGTTATCTATCCCTTTAAGTAGAAAGCAATAGCTCTATGTGCCCTTTCATCTTTCCTTGCCAGGGAACCCTTGCCCCTCAAAAAGAATGGAAAATGCAAAGGCAGCTTCATTAACAATAACCATTTAATCCTAGCTCTCTGGGAGGCCGAGGCGGGCGGATTGTTTGAGCTCAGGAGTTCGAAACCAGTCTGAGCAAGAGCAAGACCCCGTCTCTACTAAAAATAGAAAGAAATTAATTGGACAACTAAAAATATATAGAAAAAATTAGCCGGGCATGGTGGCGCATGCCTGTAGTCCCAGCTACTGGGGAGGCTGAGGCACTTGAGCCCAGGAGTTTGAGGTTGCTGTGAGCTAGGATGACGCCACGGCACTCTAGCCCGGGCAACACAGTGAGACTCTGTCTCAAAAAAAAAAACAAAAAAAACAAAAAAACCAATAACCATTAGCTAGTTATAACCATTAGCAATAACCACTAGCATATAAAGTCTTGGGTCTCTAGAAAATCAGAAAGGACAGTGTGAGTCAGAATTCCTTACTTTGAACCTCTTCTCAGGGTCCTAAGCAGGAGAGATTCTTCCACTCACATAGGTAACCACTGGAAAAGGTCATATAAGATTAGAACACATGGGGCTAAAGGACGCACGTGGAGAAGAACGAGAAGGTTTGTTTGCTTCGGGCTGATCTAGCGACACACACACAGTAGGTCAAGCACTAAGCTGTTGGCACAAAGTCAAAGGGGCAAAGCATAGTTGGGGGCCCAGACTTAAGGTGGGATCTCTAAAAATGTTCTTCTGCAATTCGGAAGCATATCAGGGTGTCCACGCTTCTCTCTGAGCTCTCTAGAATATAAACTTTCTGCAACTGCTGAGCTTGCCTGACCCATAACCTTATTAGGCAACTGCCAAAGAAAACTCTGAAGTGCTCAGACCCCCTCAGCCTCAGATGCAATGCTCAGAAACCTGGGAGGTGCTACCTCTTGTCAGGTCAGGATTAGCCACTCAGCCTGGGGCATCCTGGCTAAGGCATGTTCTCACTCCTTGATCCAGCATTTTGCAAGCCCAAGGAATGATAGGCTAGAAGAGCAAACTCTCTCGTCTCTTCCTCCTGGGCCAAGAAATCATATTGCCTTACATGAGCATTGACTCATCTTAATTTTTTTCTCCAAAAGTCCCGTAACATCTGTTCTATAATTTACAGGTAACATGTGAAAGCACCGACATAGCAATTCTAGCTAGGACAGCTGTGATACCCCCCCTTACAGATGAGGACACTGAGGTCCAAGGAGATAAAAAGTGATCTGGTCTTTGGTACGTCAGGAGCCTGGCGCTTTTCTGTTACACTTGACTCCTTCCCTTATTTTCGGACAGACATGTAAGAGGCCTTTAACATGCAGGCATTCCCTAGAGTACGGAAAATACCGGTTTCCATTTAGAGGAAATGCTGACCCTTTCCCTCTCTCTTTCTCTTTCAGAATCAACTGCATCACATTCCCTGCAATGAGGGCAAAATGGACCCCCCTCCTGTTTCCATACATAGCTGAGAACACCTTGCACTTCCTCGTAATCCAACCTGCGGTTAGACTCACTAGCAAGTTCCAGAAATGAGGAACTGCCAGAGACAAGAAGCTTACCCACTAAGGCACCAAACAACAATCAGGCACTCTGTTTCCTCCAATTTTGCCCAAGGAATCTTTTACTCTTAGAAGCTTTCCCGGGGTGCTAAAGAGATATATCCCCAGACCAAGGAAAAAGTGTAACTCCTGTAGAGGTTATAGAGCAGGGTATATTTGAAGATATGAAAGGAATCCACCCCCTGAATCTCCCCTGCCAAGGGCTCCTAGGGAACCTGGTGCGACGCATGGGAAATGAGGACGCATGGAAACGGGAGAAAGGAAACAGGAGGGGCCAGGGGCGAGGGCTGCAGGCTGGTGCAGCACTGCAGACGGACCTGCCTGGAATATTAAGTGGCTCCATTCAGCTCTGGCCTCTGGGCTGCAGGAGCGGGCTGCTCCGCGGAGCTGACTCTTGTTCCCTGCCCTGCCCTTTCCCCTTCACTGGGCTCTGCTCAAGAGCAAGTCAGTGGCACTCAGAGACACCGTGGCAAGAGTGCCAGCATCACTGCCAGGCGGGACTTGGGGGGTGAAGAAGAGAAGGCCTCCGAGGAGGGGAAGCAGGCTGGTCCCTCCTTGGAATGCACCGAACTGAGATGCGAAACCTGCTTCAGCCCCTCACAAGACCTGTTGTCTTTTTTCTGACCCAAGGTCAGTTTATCTCAGCCCAAGAGAGGCTCTACTTCTCCCTATACTCAGGAGCAGGAGTGAGGGTAGGAGAGACAGGAAGGGAGGGAAATTATATTTGTCGAGCACCTACAATGTGCCAGGTGCCATACTAGGCACTTCATGTGAAAACCAGAGAGAAATTATGCACATATATGTATGTGTGTGTGTGCGTGCTATGCAGTGCCTAGCACAGTGGCTGATGTGTAGTGATACGGTGGTGGGTCCAGATGCGGTATTATCATTATTACATATACTGTTTCACTGAATTCTCACCAATAAGGAGGACTGCCCTCTTTATTCTGCCCTCCCTATAAGGAGGACATTTCTGTTTCATAGTAGGGAAATA